CCCAAACCCTAAACCCGAAACCCGAAACCCTAAACCCGAAACCCTAAACCCTCAAACCCGAAACCCGTAACCCGAAACCCTAACCCGAACCCGAACCCTAAACCCGAAACCCGAAACCCTAAACCCTAAACCCTAAACCCTAAACCTCAACCCTAAACCCGAAACCCTAAACCCTAAACCCTAAACCTAAACCCTAAACCCTAAACCCTAAACCCTAAACCCTAAACCCTAAACCCTAAAAAACCCTAAACCTAAACCCTAAACCCTAAACCTAACCCTAACCCTAAACCAAAAACCCTAAACCCTAAACCCTAAACCCTAAACCTACCTAAACCCTAAACCCTAAACCCTAAACCCCCTAAACCCTAAAAAACCTAAACTAAACCCTAAACCTAACCCTAACCCTAAACCCAAACCCTAAAACCCTAAACCCTAAACCCTAAACCCGAAACCCAAACTAAACCCTAACCCTAAACCAAACCCTAACCCTCAACCCTAAACCCTATAAACCTAAACCCTAGAACCCTAACAACCCTAAACCCTAACCCTAAACCCTGAACCCTAAACCCTGAACCCCTGAACCCTAACCTGAACCCTGACCCTGAACCCTGAACCTGACCCCTGAACCTAACCCTGAAACCCTGGAACCCTGAACCTGAACCCTGACCTGAAACCCCTGACCCTGAACCGGAACCCTGAACCCTGAACCCTGAACCCTGAACCCTGAACCCGAACCTGACCCTGAACCCTGAACCCTAAACCGAACCCTTAACCCTGAACCCTATACCCTGAACCCTATACCCCTGAACCCTGAACCCTGAACCCGAAACCCTGAACCCTGAACCCTAAACCCTATACCCCTAAACCCTATACCCCTAAACCCTAACCCCTATACCCTATACCCTATACCCTATACCCTATACCCCTATACCCCTAAACCCTATACCCCTATACCCCTATACCCCTAAACCCTAAACCCTAAACCCTATACCCTATACCCCTAAACCCTAAACCCCTAAAACCCTAAACCCTAAACCCTTATACCTAAAGCAAGGTTGGTTGCAAAGGGCTATGCACAGAAACCCGGTTTGGACTACAATGAGACCTATGCACCAGTTATTAGGTTGGACACTATTAGAACCTCAATAGCCTTGGCTGCACAGAAGAACTGGAAATTGTATCATTTAGATGCAACATTTTAAAAGACGCACACCGAGGCGTGCCGACACGGCTTTCGAGGCAACGCGGGAGTGATAATGCCTCTGCCCAATGGGAGTGGGCGAAAACTCGCCGAGGCATGGTCAAGGCGACACTAGGCGGCTAAGACGCGCCTAGAGGCAGTTGGTGGGCGTTCCCAGATCCATCCGCGACCCAAAATCTAAGTCGACTGCTCTTCTTTCAAGCTCTGTCATCTGGGTTTAGGGTTGTAGGATGTGCGGTGTCTTCACGAAGAAGACGACCGCGAAGAAGAAGAGGGATTTTTTGTTTTTTTTTTTAAGACTTGGTCCAAAACGACGTCGTTGTGGCCAAGTCTTTAATTTTTTTTTTTTTTAAATGACTTAGACCAAAACGACGTCATTTTGGCCAAGTCTGTTTTTGTTTTATTTTTAAAACCCCAAGAGTCCTTATTTCCTCTGTTTTTCTCACTTGTTTCCTCTGTTTTTCTCAGCAGTCCTCTATTATTTCAGGTCCGGTAAGGCTTCGCCCACACCTAGGCTAGGTTATCCGTCGGACGCCTCGCCCACGCCTCACGCTTTTAATACATTGGTTAGATGTGAAATCAACTTTCTTGAATGGAGTATTATAAGAATAGGTCTATGTTGAGCAACCTGAAGGTTTTGTAGTCAAAGGCAAGAGGAAAAGGTGTATAAGCTTCTTAAGGCTCTCTATGGTCTAAAACAAGCTCCAAGAGCCTCGTATGGAGAGATTGACAACTATTTCTCACAGTGTGGTTTCGAGAAGAGCTTGAGTGAACCAATTCTGTATATAAAGGCAAGAGGAGAAGATGTCTTGATTGTTTTTATCTATGTGGACGATATAGTCTACACTGGCAGTTGCAAATGAATGCTCGAAGAGTTCAAGGAAGATATGAAAATGAAGTATGAGATGACAGACTTGGGACTTCTTCATCACTTCCTTGGGATATAAGTGATTCAAACTAACTCTAGCATCTTCATTCATCAGAAGAAGTATGCAAGTTCTTTACTGAGTAAGTTTGGATTAAATGAAGCAAAGATTGTCACAACTTCCTCTTGAAGCTACTGAGAAGTTGTCTAAAGATGATGGAAGTGGATTTGCGAGTGAGGAAATGTATAGGAGTATTGTGGGAAGCCTTCTATAGCTCACTGCTACAAGGCCATATATAATGTATGCAGCAAGTCTATTGGCAAGATTTATGCACTATCCTACTAATAGACATTATGGAACTGCAAAGAGGGTACTCAGATACATCAAGGGGACCTTGGATTATGGCCTAGAGTATGTGAAAGGAAGAAAAGCTTGTTTAATTGGCTTCTGTGATATTGATTAGGGTGGTTCATTGGAGGACAGTAAAAGCAAATCAGGATATGTATGCTCATTTGGCAGTGGTGTGTTCTCTTGGGCTTCAGTCAAGCAAAACTGTGTTGCACTCTCAACTGCAAAGGCTGAATATATAACTGCATCAAAAGCTACAACTCAAGCAATATGGCTGAGGTTTGTTTTGGAAGATTTTGGAGAATTACAAACTGAAGCTACTACCTTTCACTGTGATAACACTTCTGCCATTGCAATTACTAAGAATTCTGTATTTCATCAGAAGACTAAACACATTGACAGGAGGTATCATTTTATCAAAGATGCATTGCAGGAAGGCACATGATAAAGGAACTGCAGTCCTTATTGAAATTTGAGGAAGGAAGTTGCAAACCAGATTTGACTAACATATCCAAGTATTATCTCTCTCCCACTTCCGAGTGCACATTATCTTCATTTGTAGTGAGTTGATGCAGTCTCGTTTGGCTTAGATATAGATGAATTATACATTCAACGGCCTGACTTCAGACTAAAGAACTGACCTAATCAAAGATGTTTATGGTGCTAGACATAATCGTACTGTTTCTGTTGACCCTTTTTTACAGCTATGGAAGGATAAAAATACTAGTCACGAAACCAAATCCCAACTTCTCTCGATTATCGTTTTCTGACCTTGTCACGCGTTGCAAGATGCAACAGTTCCCAGTGGTTGTCGATCACATATCTGCTTTATTCTTATAGATGCGTAGCATAGGATGCATTACTTCTTCCTGCATCAAGGATTATGTTCTGTTGTGTTTTTTCCCTATACTGAATGACTACCAAAAATTTGATTTGGATGTGTATCATGATCCTTAACCATGCTTTTCATAAAGCACGATTTTGCAGGGCAATTACAGAACTACAGATTACAGGCCTCATTCGGATGCCCAGCAAAAAACGTCGTGACTCTGTGCAGAGAGTGGCCTTTGGTCTGTGACAAGTTGTACAAGTTCAGTTGACTCTAAATTTCCCCTCTTTACTTGCATCGCGTTGGAAGTACCGTGTTTTAAACTAGTTATAAATAAATAAGATTCATAGTGAGCTTTAACATTTGAAAAAAAAAAAAAAAAAACTTAAATAATTTCAGATTTAAGAAGTTGAGATAAAACCACATTTGTTGGAGTTCACATATTCGGTTTCAAAGGATAGTAGAAAGCTTAAAGTCATGCATTTTGCCTTGAAGTTGCTTGGATCACACAAATATAATCAAGGGTGAAATGGGATTAAAATGTATTTTTGAATATTGTTGGTGTTTTCATTACCAGAAATCATGATGATTCTCCTCTTGTTGTTGCGGGTACAAAACAACTAATAACTTCAACACTCATGGCTTAATGTGACATCCCACATCGCCCAGGGGAGTGATCCTTATATGTATATTCTCATTTCTACCTAGCACGAGGCCTTTTGGGAGCTCACTGGCTTCGGGTTCTGTAGGAACTCCGAAGTTAAGCGAGAAGGGGGCTAGAGCAATCCCATGATGGGTGACCCACTAGGAAGTTGCTCGTGAGTTCCCAAAAACAAAACCGTGAGGGAATGGTAAGCCCAAAGCGGACAATATCGTGCTACGGTGGTGGAGCGGGCCCGGGAAGTGGTCCCGACCGGGCCGGGATGTGACATCAAGCTTTGGCTCTCAAAATGGGCATCATTCAAGATAAGGATACTAAAATTCTATCCATTCATCGTAAATTATGTGATCATAAATTATTAAATACTATTTGTGTTTAATTTTAAATAAAATAATTTAAAATAATTTCTGGCCGCATTGTTTGTGTTTAATTTTTAATAAAATAATTTCTGATCGCACGATGTACGATAAGCGAATAGGATGTAAGAATCTTTAGGACCCTCCAAAGAGGATCCAGATGAAATCCAAATCCTACAATTTATACTAAACGTGCTATAGAGGGTGATTTGAAAATTCTTATTTATTGTCTTCTTACCTTGGCAAATTAGAATTAATGCATATACATTTTAAATTGAGCTAGTGATTTCACTTGTTTGACTCTTCTTGCTTGAGTTGCCATAGGGGCTTTGCCTTTTAATCTTTACTTCCTTACAAAACATATTCTGAAATGCATAGGTTTGTCAAGTTTTTTTCTTTGTCCAAAAAATTACATAAGCTTTCAAGTTCGAATAGCCTAGTTAAATGGTTGAAGATAAATAAAAAACTAAAAGCTAATTTTAAATACTCAATTAAAATTAGCTTTTAGTTTTTTATTTATCTTCATCCACTTGTCTAGACTACTCAAACTTGAAACAGAAAAATAAAATTTTGTAGACCACATTTAAATTTTTTTCTCTAATTCCAAAATAATAAAAAAAGGAAAGCGGGAAGGGACTGGATTGCCAATATTCTAGATGAAAGGGTGACGTGGCATAAGAACGATGCATTAATAAAAATTTGTAATTTATTATTTAACCTGTATTTTGTTTTGTTTCTACAAAGGGGAAGCAAAAAAGGAAAAACAAAAGGGGCAGAGTGACTGAGTCAGAGAGAGTCAGTTGCTTAAATTTTCAGAAACCCTAACCTAATGGCTACTACTGTAAATGGACGAACCCAATGAGCGAACGAGGTATGCCTTTCTTTTCTTTTGCTTCGAATGATAGATAGTAGTCTTCTCTCTCGTCTGTGTGTAAATTCTAAATTGGAATCGATATTTTTTGTTTATGTTGGTGGATTTCATTTCTGTTTTCAATTGGAGTTATAGATTTGCGTCCCAGCTTCCATGGATAGTTTTTGGGAATTATTTTAGCTCGACGTCTTAAACAAATGAGGTTTAGTTATATTATCAGACCCAGACTGCAAAATTCCTTCTGCATTCTTATTCAAAGGAAAAGAGTTTTATTTTCTTCCAAGCTGAAATTTGGGCGGGCAATTTGTAATTGCACTTTTACTTGATTTGGTATATTGTAATCGTATGAATGTAACGTATAATTTTCAGTTTTCATTGAATAACTGACAATCCACGAAGACCTCTATGTATTTCTTGCAAAATTCAAATTAACTACTATGATATGACGTCGCTACTTTCTGCCAATAGCTGTTGCATTTTTCTAAGGCATTCCTCCCAATCCCACATTCCTACCTGCCATGTTACCTTCTATATTCGTGTGTTTCCAATTTTCAAACAGATTAATCATATTGTGGAGGAAAAAAAAAAAAAAGGGAAAATTCTTGAGGCCATCTTTTGCCCTAGAAACCATTGAAGGCTTAAACCGTAGGTTTTAATGCCCATATTCCTAGATAACTTAGGGCTCGTTTGAATGTGCTCTTAAAATGACATAAAGTACTTTTAGAGAAAATGTTTTTGGGTTCAAAAGCACTTAAAGTGCTTTCGGCAAGAAGCCGCAGTTATGTGCTTCTTCTAGAAAGCACTTTAAGTGATTTTCCAAGATTTACTTGCATCTTTATTAAAGATTGGTTTTAAAAAAAAAATCACCAAAAGCGCTTTCAGTCATTTTAAAAGCATATACAAACGAGCTCTTTAATCCTTAACTCTAAGCTTTAAACTGCATTTTGACTTTCATTGAAGTGGCAATCCTTGTGCATTTGGACAATCGCGTCCTCCAGTCTCCAAGTAAAGAATCAGAATGTTACCATATATAGGGCGGTTAGGAGATGTACCTGGGGTGGAACTCACGAGCAGTGAAATTAACCACTTATTTGTTGATTTCTATATCCCGTCGTTTTAGTAATTCTAAGTCGTTCATGTGAAAATCTGTGGGCTTACTGTCAGTTCTCTGTTTCATTTGTCTTGGTTAGTATTCATGCATCAGTGATTGCAATTTTCATGTCAGGATTGATTAACTTCTCTTTCCTGATTGAATTTACCTAAGATGATGTCTTTCATATAGATAGCATGGAAATTTGGTATTTTCTTGACATAGGTCATTCTTGGATGATTCAGAATTTTTTCCTCCAACACCACTAGCTTTTAAAATGAAACCAAAAACAACTGCTGTGCCTAGAGCTCAGAGATCCAAACCTTTTCAGGGGGATGGACTTAATTGGGTTCTTATTGCTGGTGGTGCCTTGTTAAGTACATTGTCAATTCGTCTTGGTTACAAGCTGAAGCAAGCACTTGACACAAAGCCCCAGGAGACTGCTAGTAATGGTTCGGAGATTTTTAATGTGTATAGCTTTTTCCTTACAGTGGCTCCTTCGACCTTTTAACACTGTTGTCAATTTCAGGAAGTGGAAAATCCTCTGACCCAAGAAAGTCTGCAGGTTGCCGTGTGCACTCAAACGTTTATTCCTTTACGCAACAAAATGATGGTGGTTGCTTTAATTGCATGTCAGGTGTGGAGTAGTAAATTCTTGGCTTGGAATTTCTGAGGTTTAAACAAGTAGTTTCTGTTCAGGATTCAAAATTAGTTTTGGCCAGTGGTTGATTACACCTTCATTTGCATGGTTCTCCTTTGGGTGTGAAAGCTTGTCTGATATATTGTGAGATACAACCATATTGAAAAAGAAGAGAATGAGAAACTCGGTGTTCAGTTTTTAATGCTACACCTTAATCTAACTGGGCTTTGTTGAGAATAACAACAATTGGACTCTTTCCGAAGAGTGAGGCTGAAGAACTGTATGGAATTGCGTTATGTTTGGATTGATGCTAGTTGAGTTTCGTTAGAATTGCATTATGTTTGTTGCAATTTATTTGCAGTTCACCCTTATTGCTTGATGAGCCATAGCGTGATATATTATTTGACAGCCCATTATAATAATTCGGTTGTTTCATATATGTAATGGGTTTGAAATAGGAACTGAGGGCATGATGGAGATGAAGTGCCTGCCCAATGACCAGATGCTGACTGAATCTGATGGTGCCCTGCCTTTAGTCATGGTTCCAGCCCCTGAATTTAACAAGGAGAATGGCTTTGTCTGGGCATCTTCTCCGGATCACCTTGAGTTGCCTCCAAAGCCATTCCTCCACTATTCAAACTGCTCAGATTCTCCGTGTGTTTCAGAATCTGGGTCTGACATCTTCAGTAAGCGGGAAGTCATACAAAAACTGAGGCAACAACTGAAGAGAAGAGATGACATGATCTTAGAGATGCAGGATCAGATTCAAGAGCTGCAGAGTTCGCTGAATGCGCAGCTGGCACATTCTACCAATCTACAGTCACAACTTGATTCAGCAAACAGGGACTTTTTTGATTCGGAGAGAGAAATCCAAAGGCTTAGGAAGGCAATCGCTGATCACTGCGTGGGACATGTGAGCCCCATTGACAGATCACCCCAGGTCACTATTTGGCAACCTGAAGAAAGAAATGGTCATGTGAATGGATTTCCTGATGGGGAAAGCAACTTTGATGCAACCGAAAGAGGAAGAGGGGATGGAGAGAGGATTGAGATGCTGAAGAGGGAAGTAGGAGAATTGAAGGAGGTGATAGAAGGAAAGGAATACTTGCTACAAAGCTACAAGGAGCAAAAAGCAGAGTTCTCACTGAAAATCAAAGAGTTGCAGCAGAGACTGGATTCTCAACTCCTCAATATTTTGTAGGAAACTTTTTGTTTTTGTGTATTCTTTTGCTTGTTCTGCTACTCATAAGCTTCATTTTCCTCCCTCTCCTTACCATACTTAGTTTAGATTAATTTTCTTATGATGTACTTTGTGCGTGTATGCGACCTGGATGAATGAGATCTTGGTGTTTGGAGTAGCAAAAGCTTGCATAGTGGTGGGAGGGTCATTTTCTCAGCATGAACCGGAAGTTGCATTTTTGGAGAAATGCCTCCTACTGTCCAGAAATGCATTTCCCATAAATGTTTTGGTCCTTCGCTACCTCCATTTGGTTACTTTTATTTTTGATTCAGTTGCAGTATCCAGACCTTGTGAAGGCATTTCGATTTTGGGAATCGAAATCCTTGTGGACGTGACAACCCCCTTCCCTCCTTCCTTCTACAAACCTTGGTACTGCAAACGAATGGAGAGGAATCAAAGTTTGGTACTGCAAACGAATGGAGAGGAATCAAAGTTAAAACTTCAGACCCTTTGAGGCAAAATAATTATAATCCACTGCTTCTTCATACATGAGAAACTACTCTCATTCTACGCAATTCCAGATTTCAAAAATACAAGGAAATGAAGAAATGATCAAAATAAAAAGCTCAATTCTCTCAAAGGAGAACCTTTTAACGTAATGTTCTCTTCTGTGACAGCGTGGCAAAGGCAATCCGCTAATATAATTAAATATAAAAGCTATCCATCTTCCATTGTAACTGCAGTATGTGGCTTCATTGGTAGTTTCCCCATGAGTGATTCAAATTTTAAAAGCATTGCTCCAATTCCCATGCTGCATGAAATTCACAACAATTCCAAGACGGCCGATGCTAATTCATTTGCCATGGAATGGGCTTTCCTGTTTATGAACAGCTTCTCTGCCCGTGATCAAGTATGATTTGCCAAGAGCTTTATTGGTTAACGAGTGTTCAAATCAAACTCCCCAACTTCACGCCAGCCGTCCTGCATGCCCGTGGATCCATTCTCAGTCTCTTCATCATTTAAAAAATCCTCACATGGTTCCTTCTCATCTCTTTGCATATTATTTCCCCATCCATTTATCATATCTTCTGGGTTAACCCCATGTTCCTGCTCTCTCATGTCATGCCCAATCGAAACGTCATTGCCTTCAGACCCAAGTGCACTTGCCCTTATTGGGGCCCGAGCTAACATTTCAGCATGTGCTTGCGACTCAACCCGAGCTTGCTCTGCCTGAGCTCGTAATTTAGCTTCCCGGCCAGCTTTCTCTCTTGAATCAAACTCTGCTTTCAATTCCAGACATGTCCTTTTTTCTTCTTGGCAAAGTGCCTGCTCAATCATAAGTCTCTCTTCAGACCGAAATTCCCCCAATGCTCGCTTACGGGAAATTATGTTAAAGGCTAGTGCTTGTTTCTCAAATGTTGCTGTAAACTCTGCAACTTTAGAAGATATGTTGTGATCCCACTGCTGAGAGCGAGATGGAATCAGGCCTGTGGTGTCAGAGTCAAGGATTCTGTCATCCTCCTCTGCCTCATAATCTGCCACTACATGATAAGGCAGCAACCTGCCAATTTAAGGGGAGAATAGATATAAGAATGCCTCGGGAGTGCCACAAATTCTCAAAAGTTCAAGCATAAGCAATTTAAATAAACACCTGGAGACAAAGCTTACCACTTTCAACCATCAATTGGGAATATTTCAAGTGGGAATTAGGCACCACCATCTTAAAGGTAACATAGTCTACAAATTTGTAATTATCCTTATTCATAAACATCAGACTATGCTAACTGGTAATAAGTGTCAAAAACATATAGGCCAGGTTCGGGTGACACATCAAAAACATTTCAAACAATTAGATCGGAGCACATTAAATGGTTTAGATCACCACAACTCCCCAGAGAAAAGGAGAAAAGACGGGGAAATATAACTAGAGGGACAAAACAGCTTATATACCAACTGCATTCACATCCACAACCAACCTCTTCGACTCAAGATGACATTTCATCAACTACATGTAGCAGAATGCAAACTACCAGATAAAGAGAAATAACAAGGCTAAGAGTAAATGGACTTATAGCCAGGGCAACAAGTAATGATGACTCACTTTGCTTAATCCATCTATCCCATAAGGCGCACTAGCCATAAAGGGTAATATTAACATGAAACACATGATTCCAGGTATTTATATTTAATCTCCTAATACTATTCTGCTACCACAAGATTATACACCTCTCTCTCTCTCTCTCTCTCTCTCTCTCTCTCTCTCTCTCTCTCTCTCTCTCTCTCCTCTGGAATGAATCCAGGATATGACTGTTATGAATTATGGGTGCTATTCTGGGACATCGGTTTAGACTTTAGACACAATGCTAAATAATCCAAAAACCCATACAGAAATGTCCACAGGACTGGATAAACTAGTATTAACTTTTGAAGTATCCATTAGCTTAGGCATGTTGAAGAACCTTCTGCATGATTTCCATGGAAGTCAGGTTGGTTCCTCATCCATTAATGATAACATTCTTTTGAAGGGCGAGATTATGGGTTCAACTACTAATGGAGTAGACTGCGAGCTCGTAGAAGGGGAAACAAGGGAAAGTGAAAACTCTTTTTTTTTTAAGGAAAGAAACTATATTTTAGGACAATACAGTTACACGAAGGGATAAGAAGTCCACATAAAAAATATAAACAAACAGTGAAAACAAAAATGAAACCGCCCTAAAATGTAAACAGTTAAGAAAACTGGGGGAGCCAACTGATAGCAGCTTTCCAATCAAGCCAAATAACTGAAAAGGACAAAGTTTTCAAGATCTGTTGAAATCGAAGCCCATATGAAGACCAGAAACAAACTTTCTCCCATAAGTCCTCTCAGATGCTATCATAAGGTGCACAAGATATTATATCTAAACGAATCTGTTAAGCAAAATAGTAACTCTCATGTGTCAATAAAAGGTGGAGCACATGAACTCAATCAAAAAAAATCACAAACTGTAAAACTAGGTCCTATTAAATGCAAACCAGCATGGAATATGTAAGCAAAGACAGTAGAGCTTTGCTTCGGGGACATGACACTGAAACCCCACAAGTACAAAGGGCACAAACAATTTCAAGGTATTGACGTGGAGATTAAAATGATAACAATGTGAGAATGTGTAGCTAGCAGATATCCTGGAATAGGTGATGAGGTAATGTATGAGAGCAAGGATTCTTCCATTACCCAATAAATTAGCAGTTGCCTCAACAATGTTTGTAGTTGGTCAATCAAGAAGTTTGAATTAAGTCATAATTTTCAATAAAAAATTTCCATTTTCAAATTAGAGATAAAGATATGAGGACCTAAATTCGCAAAACAAAGAATAGAAAATGCAAGCGAAAAAGTAAACGAAACCAAGGATTTCAATGAGATGGAAACCCTAATCAGTAAAAAAATTAACCTCTCGCAGGCGTCTTCGAGGGAAGAGAAGGGACGCTTGAAATCGGGATGGCAGACCCGCCAGGCGTCCTGGTACGCCATCTGTAGCTCCGCCTGGTTCCCGGGTCGGATCACCCTCTGCTGTTGCTGCTGCTGCTGCTGCTGTTGTTGGGGCTGTTGGGGCTGTTGGGGCTGTTGGGGCTGCTGCTGCTGTTGCCGTGGGTTGGCAACAGGATTTTGTTGGAGATTAGGAGCGGAATTAGGGTTAGGGTGGAGATTGATGGGTCGGAGTGGGCGCAAATGGGCATCGATGTTGGAAGGGAAACGGGAAATGGCAGCGGCCTGTTGGGCTTGTTGCTGTTGCCTTTGCAGTTGTTGCAGGAGCAATAACTGTTGCTGTTGATGCTGTTGGTTTTGTTGCTGTTGTTGCTGTTGTTGCTGCTGTAGCAATAGTTGCTGCTGCTGCAATGCCTTCTCATCTTCCATGCCTGCCTTATATGTCTTCACCTGCGACTGCGAGGTTTGGCTGAAATATGTCAGTCTACCTTCAGCAGCTCAAGAAAAATGTTAAGAGTCCCCCGTTTTGACGACGCACTCGACCTCTCTGCCTCAACTCTGCCCCTTCTTCAAAACCCCTACGCAGGCTAGGCAAATTTACACAAATAGCACTGGACTTTTGTGCATTTACCCACTATACTGAATAAATTTACAATTTATTAATTTGCATATATTTACAATACACCACCCACGTCCAATTTTCATCTAAAATTTGAGAAATGCGAGAAACCTTCTTAATTACTTTGTTATTTTTATTCACATTCTTCTCATGTCATATATTACTTAAAATTTAAAAATATTAAAATGCAAAAATAGGTGAAAAGGTTGCTGACACTCGCTCTAAATTTTTTATGTTTAATCACAATACTTGGATAGTTTTGTTAATTTTTAAGGTTAATTTTGTTAATTCAGTCACCTAACTACACTCTTTCCCCACCCACATGACACGCCCCGATTCCTGTGTTTGAAGCACAACGAGATAGTCACGTGTTGGCCGACACTCGAGAGTGGCGCAAGCTATTTAATGAATGCATATGCCAAGAACATGTGAAACATGCATATAATTTTCGCACGTAACCACGCAATATAACATCCAAATACAAACCTTAACAAAATAATAGTAATAAGGTACGGGTCATTGGACCAAAGGAGAAAATTCAACTGCCAACAATTAAAAAGTGATAATGCATGAACATATTCAGAGTGTACTACTATTTAAGATTACAAAGAAAGCGGTCCTACACCGAGAGGACTTGAAGATACTAATACGGGAATGCCTCAACGTCGGGATCAATCACATGCCTCATTTCTAAGTCCTAAATGGAGCGCAAAATAAAATATAAATGGACCAAGTTTATATATAGTAATACTAAAACAATTACTCTTCAACGTACTAACCCCCAGTTTTATAAACCCATATAGCATAATAAATAGTAGGTTTTCCGAAAACCCTAGCATGCCATAAAACCTTCATAAAACATATATCGTATATAGTGTGCTTAGTAGTGGTATCACAATTGCCCGAATGCCTTACAGCGCCCGCCCAAAGGCATATATAAATCTTCCGCTCGAGGCCCTACATCATCCATCCAAAGGCATATATAAATCTTCCGCCCAAAGGCCTTACATCGCCCGCCTGAAGGCATATACAAATCAATATCCACTAAGTAAGAATAGAAAATCATAAACATAATATTTCCAAAATATATCTCATCGAAGCTCGATAGTTCAACATCATATCATAAATCATATTCATAAATATCTCAGTAACGTAAATTCGATGAAGCATGATATTTCATAAAGCGTAAATCTGATAACTCATTAAATGTTTCATAAAACGTAGTCATAAAATCATGATTTTCATGTATGCATTTCTAGTAATAAAATCAAGGGGTTCACTCACAGATACTATGTCGCTAAAGAGCCGTTTGAACTAGGGAGGATGGAAACTCCACCAATAAACGCACCTAAGCACATAAAGGGACCAATTAATAAAATTCTACTAAAATGATTGAATTTGGGAAAATGAAGTGCGGATTTGGAATTAGGACGCCGAAATTAGTCTAGGAGGGGTCCCGGCCAAAACACGAAAAAGGTCAACCAAAAGTCAATGTTAACTATCAACGAAAGTCAACGGTCAGGTCAATGGGTCGGGTCAACCCGATCACCTGAAAACCCACCGGAAACTGGGTTTTTGGCGGGAAACTTGTGCAATTTTCAAAACTTCATAACTTCTTCGTTTTCTTAACCAAATTCAACCCATAATATATCAAAACCAAGCTAGGAAACTATAGAACAAGATTATACCTATTTGGAAGCCCAGTGGTTGCCAAAGATGGCCAAAAAATGGCCTAAAAGATGACTGATCTGCGAGAAAACTAGGGAACTCGTTGGAAACTGGGTAAACTTTAAACGTTCATAACTTCATCAATACTCAAGGAAATCCAGTGATTCAAAAACAAAAAATCATACTTCTCAATGAGACAAAGAGAATGATACCTTTCTTGACGGTTAACTCGCTGTGGTTTGGCCAAAAAAATGGCTCGAAAGTGGCTGTCTTCGTCGGAAAACTAGGGAAGATTTCCTCGTGAGTTTCCTACATCCAAACATTACCAAAACTTCTCAAAACTACTTACAAACATACACCAAGACACGATCTACAACTTTTGGACAAGTTTCGAGGCTTACCTTTGCCGGAAGAGGTGGAAACTCACTGGAGAGTTTCGATGAATAGTGAATGTTAAAATAAAGATAAGGGTTTGGGGGCTTTTAAGGGTTCATGAGTTCACCTAGAGGGGAGGGGATGGGATGGTGGTGGAGGGTTGTTGTCATTGTTGTTTGTTGTTGTTTGTTCTGGAAAGGATGAGGCAAAGGGAGAGCCGAGATGTGAAGGAGAGAGTGTAGGGAGAGTGAAAGTGTTTAGAGAGAGAGAGATAAAACAGAAATGGGAAATAGGGTGCATGGGACAAGGGGAAAAGCAAGGGCACACCTTTCTATTATGGGTCCAGTGGCTCACAATTTAAGGTCACAAGAGACGAAATGTGAAAATACCAAAATACACTTGACGTTACGAAAATAAGGACGGGGTATTACAATCTACCCCCTTAAGAGAATTTCGTCCCCAAAATTCACTACCTCAAGTAAACAGATACGGATATTGATTTCTCAACAGTTCTTCAGTTTCTCACGTTGCTTCCTCAACTGCATGGTTTCTCCACAACCCATTTACCAACATAATAACTTTGTTTCTTAGAGCTTTATCATGTCAGTCGATGATTTCCACTGGCTCCTCTACATAGCTCATGTCCTGTCTTACTTCACGTATACAGCCTACTTGTCCATTTGCGTAGCGAACTCAAAGAATAAGCCATCGATATTACAGTCTGCGAAGTATGTGATAGAGCAGGATGTTGCGGAGTATGTGAAACAGGATGAATAATTTGCCAGAAAGTGAAAGTGGATAGACAGAAACCAAAATAGCTAATGCAGAATCTCTCTATACCAGTTTGGAAATAGGAGGATATCACCATGGATTTTGCGTATGGATTATCAAGCACGCGGTCAAGATTTGATAGTGTATGGGTGATTGTGGATATGCTCACTAAAACTGCTCATTTCTTACCAGTTCGAAAGAATTACACACTGGAGAAGCTAGCACAACTATTCATTGATAATATTGTTAAACTTCATAGTGTACCCATCATCATTGTTTCAGACAGAGATCCAAGATTCACCTCCAAATTTTGGAGAGTATTTCATGACGCCATGAATACTCAACTTTTGTACAGCACTGCCTATCACCCACAGACTGATGGTCAATCTGAGAGGACGATCCAAACTTTGGAGGACATGCTGAGGGTTTGTGTTCTCCAATGGAAGGGTAATTGGGATAATTTTTTGCCATTGATCGAGTTCGCATACAATAACAGTTACCACTCCAGCATCGGCATGACACATTTTAAAGTATTGTATGGAAGGGTGTGCCAGACACCACTTTGTTAGATTGAGGTTGGTGAGCGGGTGTTAGTGGGCCTAGAAATTTTCAATATCACTAATGCTTGATAAAGAGAAATTTGAAGACGGCGCAAGATCGACAAAAGAGCATCGTTGATCGACATTCTAAGGATCGTGAGTATGAGATTGCTGATTTTTTCTTTCTGAAGTTGTCACTTTGGAAGGGTATGGTTCGTTTTGGTAAGCGAGGGAAGTTGAGTCATCGATATGTCGGCCCTTACAGAATCATAGAGAGAATTGGCATAGTTGCTTATAGATTGAAGTTACCACCAGAGTTGTCGCAATACACGATGTATTTAATGTTTCCATGCTTCGAAAGTATATACCAGATCTATCTTGTGTTTTAAAACCGCAACCGTTAGAAGTAAGTTAGGACATGAGTTATGTTGATGAGCCAATAGCGATTATCGACCGACAGGATAAAGCGGTGAGAAACAAGGTCATTCCATTGGTAAAGGTGTTGTGGATGAACCACGCAGTCGAGGAAGCGACTTGGGAAGCATAATAACTAATGAGAAGTCAATATTCATACCTATTTACTTGAGGTAGTAAATTTTGGGGACGAAATTCTCTTAAGGAGGGTAGATTGTGATACCCCGTCCTTAATTTAATGTTTTTGTATTATTAAATGGTGTGAATTTACCCTCGTGGCAAGATTTGACTTTTGTTGACCACTTCGTTGAAACGCGTATGACTAACCTTCTTAATTTATTCTTATTGTACTCACCGCCACGAACGTGTGGGCGCGAACGAATTCGAATCTAGAGATGTAACGAAGAGTTTACGTTTTCAAAACATCGAACGTTCTTTCCGGTATTCCAAGTTCTGTCTCTAGTGGCCTTAATTTGTGAGCCACTAGGACCCACAACGAAAAGTATGTCCCCATGCTTTTCCCTTTGTCCCGTGCACCACCTTCCAAAATGCATGATTTAATTACTAGAAAAAACATGATTTTATGACTACATTTTATAAAACGTTTATTGAGTTATCGGATTTACGCTTTATGAAATATCATGCTTTATTGGATTTATGTTTGAAATATTTATGATTATATATATACACTTATGAACATGGTTTATGATGATGATTTAAGCTAGAACGCTCATATGATTTATGATATGATGTTTGTGAAGGAAAATTTGTGAAAAACATGTTCATTTAAGCAACATCAATAGCATGCAATTAACAATTAAAGGCGGAATCATGCTTGTATGCACTTAAAACAAAACATTTACCCATGAAATTCAAAGCCTAGTAGATAGGTGAACCAAGACTCAACTCAAAACAAAGTGAGTTGAGAAATCAATACCTTTGTAGATTCCTCTTTGCATAAGCAAAGGCTAATCACCCAAAGAGAGGGCCTTCATTCCTTGCATCTTAGATCCATGGATTTGAATGGATGAAAAGGATTCTCCAAGTTCCCAAAATTGAGAACCTCTAAGTCTCCACACCAAGGTAAGATTGGAGAAGAAATGAGTGACCTTGAGGAAGTAAGATTGCTAGATGTTATCCTCAAGGTGGCCGGCCATTTCTAGAGAGAAAGAAGAGTTTGTGTTTCTCCAATTTCCCCAAAAACAACTCTTAATGAATTTTGGCTATTAAGTCAAACTTATACCTTAATTCATTTGAGTGGCAAACTTGTAAATAAGTCCAAAGCCCACTCTTTCTCTAAATGGCCGGCCTTAGGGTATTCTTTGGGCTATTTGGGCCTTTGTGAATCATTATTCATTAAGTTGTCATACAACTTAAGTCAATGGACTTGACGTTCGAAGCCCATTGGGCCTTAAGGTCCAAAACTATCCCGAGGTCTTCAACGAACTTATTCGTTTGATTAATAATCATATTAATTAATCCTTGCCATAAATAATTAAACCATTTAATTATTCTTACTCATCTCCGTTGAATCTTCAATCTCTACCTTACACGGTGTACGATCCATTAGGTTCCTTTTAGCGAGGCAGTGGGCGATTCAAACTCTTTCAAATCGATTGTGAATTGAAACTTACTTTCAATTCTCCCGTTAGTGATAATACACTTTTAGGGCTTCCACAAACCATGGTTGACGCCTAGCAGCATGTCATGGTTACCCAAGCTAATCAGAAGAGGTGGAGAACCTATTCAGTCTTAGGATTACAAATGCAATACGGTCTTTCTCTAATACAATACTCTTGACCACATTGTTTGGTTTGATAGTTTATTCATGTCTACTATCCAATGTGAGTCTTGTGCTTATATGATTACCTTGAATGTGATCTGGAATGCATTCCAACATCTCATTCATACTCTGGCCAGAGATTCCAAATCATATCATAGAGTATTCTCCCTCAAACAGTTTGAAGGTTAGAGATCCCTTGTTGCGCATTCACTTGCCTCCATGGCTAAGTGGCTTAACCCCGACGATGCCGTGGACACCCTGATAGAGTGACGTTGACATAATCAAAGATTAAGGACCTAACCACAAGACAACTGTGATGCCTCAGGTCAAAAGACTAATTTGCATTATCCCAACCATGAGTTCTCATGTGACATGAATATGAGAACTCTTCGTTGATCGTGTTCAGTGAACTCATTCTCTATTGAGCACCTACGTACTTGTCTTGATGTCACACACACCAATGACTCGAGACTAGTCACTCTCCCTGAGAGAAGACATAGCACGTACTGATCTTAACGGACTGTCAATGCCCAATTGACAATCCTATGATCAGGAACGTTTAGGATGTGTCAACGAAAGAATGGTCTCATGAATCTAACTTCTTTAGATCGCATTCTTCCAATCACATATTCCTTGGACTTATCGTTTAAGCATATAACATTTATATGAGACGGCTCAAACAATAATGTTTGCCCTTTAAACTACATTAGTTTGAAATGTCCGTAAAGTATCATCATATGATTGGTTTTAGGGCACATTTCCAACAATCTCCCACTTGCACTAGAGCCAATCAGCTTAGTCATCATTGATGATACCTCTTCTGTAATTCATTTCATAAATGGCTGAGTAGTAGGCCTAAGCAATGGATATCTATATGTTATCCATAGAAGCAACTTTGAGAATAACGACGTCACCATTATACATGATTCTCAATCATGTGGTTCAGTCTCTCATTTGAGTTCGGACCTTGATGAGACCTTGATTCCCTGGCTTGAGCTATCGCCCCATTAGTGTCATACACTTTCTGGTTGGAACCGAATGAAGAGTTCATGAATGAACTTTCCCATCCAAACAACAATGTTGTAAGCTTCTATATGGCAATATATTTTGCATACATGATGGAACACATTAAAGTCATTTACTTTTAACGTTTCCACCCAAATATCTCTTTAGTCATAATGAAGAGATATTCTATGATGGATTAGATTCATAATCTAATACATTTACGCTTCCATTACGTTACTCTAATTCTTCCTTATTCTTGAGGAATCCATCCTTAGTATTTCTTAAATACCTAAGAATTCACTTGACAGTTGCCATGGTTCTGATCCTGGGCTTGCACTGATATCATCTTGTACCGTTCTAGGTACGACTTATATCAATGTTTTCATACAATATGAAATACATAAATCACCTTTCTGCGTATGCATAAAGGATTCTATTTACGCATTATTTCTTTGGGAGTCAAAGGGTACATTCCCTTTGAGAAGAACAACTTCCTAGTCTCACTAGAATTGTCATTCTAATTGAAGTTTATCATCATATGAGAAACTTCCTAGCATCTCTTGTCTATTTTAGGGATTGATATAATCCAATTATATCTTGAAATCTATCATTATAGATTTCCATCCCATGTAT